AATCAAAGAATCTGTTATAAAGAAGGTATAGGTACAGTTAATGAATGAAAAAAGAAGTTTGTCTGATATTTGAAACCCGTAAAGGAGACAATTCAAACGAACAACTTAAAAACTGAAAAATTATAGTTGTTGATTCGTACCCGGGTATCTTACAAAATACCGCATCTGATGACCTTGAAACGTACCCGGTACAAATCAAGGGGGGTACAAATCAAGGGGGGTACCTTATACGGCGTTTTACGGTAATGACCATATTACAGTATTACAATCGTATTCAAATCATCGTAAATCATAGGTTCTTAAACGCATAATTATTTTGGGCCCTTATTTGTAATAATTTTCAAATATCGAGCCTCTTTCTGTAATTATTTTCATTTTGGCCCTTATTTGTAATTATTTTCGTTTTTAGGCTCTTATTTGTAAATTCCCCAATGTTTAATCAATAATACTCAAGAAGAGCATGTATAATACTAGCCAACCCATAGCACTCGAGAGTAGATAAATCATACGTTTTTGAATATTAATAAAAATAACGATGACACGTTTTTAGTATTGAGTCATAGGAGTAATTGCAAAAATGACATAAATTAATGAATGACGCGTAACAAGTAAACGCTTACGATGAAGATTAGTAATAAAACTATCCCGGCTTATCAGATATTGAATTTTTCATTATAAGACCAACAGGTTTAATATCTTGATTTTCATAACATGAATAGCATGAACTTTTTAAACAGACCCGACCGGCCGGCTTTTTTTTCATAAAACTTTATAAAAATTTTTCAAACCCCTTTTTTTTTACAAAATTTGACACGGTTGGGTTAGGAAAAACTACTATACTATCTATTTTCTTATTATATAAGGCTTCAGCCTTATAAAATGCATCCGTTTTATTACTATATATTTGGAATTTAAATGAAAGCCTCGATTATAACGAATATATGCATCAAGAAAGCACTCAGCATAATTCATAAATTTGGGTACATATAGAACTCTTTCTAAATAACTGATAAGGTAAAACTAAGGTTTATACGTACGTACGTACGTCGAGTGCGTGCACCGCACGTAAAAATATTAATTAATCTTCACAGATAAAGTGCGATATGCAGTATGTATAAGCGCATTGCTACGTAGCATTGCTATTATGTAAATTATAATATAAAAATTATGTTCAAATAGACTTAACTGTAAAGTACAGCATAAAAGTTTCATAAAAGAGATAAGTTATGCAAGCTTTCTAAAGTATATATATAAATGTATTCAATTCGAATTAAGATACTCGAAAAGTAATCCGGATTCAATCTGGATAGCTCTTGAAGAGGATCACATATCCGGTTTTTTTTTGGCGTTTATGGAAAAATCATTTTGATGGCGATGCAGTGGTGGTGATACCGGCAAAGATAGTTTTTGATCCGTGCACCCAATCCTAATGTTAAAGATGTGTGTGTGATCGATCAATAATGGTTTCAGTTCAAGTATACTATACGTGCATTTTTATTGGTTATTATAATCGAGATTATCGTTATTCTTCCCGTGGAATTTATTATAACCGCCGAATTGCTGAAAAGTCTGGAAGTTTAGTGGGTTCCTGCTTCCAGTCAATAACACTGGAGACTTTACCCGTTCACCCTTTTCCCTTATTTAAACCAAGGACACACATAATACATCATATCTACTACAATGCAAAACTTCGTTGATGGATTTTCAACAACCGACATCTCAAACTATACCAGCGACATTCGAGCTTGCATTAATTTTATCTTCCATCAAGGTTCGAGCAACTGGTTCAAGATGTTATATACTTATAGTGACATAATCGCTTCTCAAATGGAACGGGCCGATGCTAGTTCCTTTGATCTGCTCATTAATATGCTTACATCGCCTCACGTGTTTAAACAGACTAATGAAGTTTATATATATATATTACGATCACTTTCATCAAATGACGTTCTTTTCGAAAAGCTAATAAATTATATGCTAGACTCCTGTGGGACCCATAATTTTTTGTCCTCTCTTAAACTTTTAGGTTCTATTCTAACTGTCACACCTATTCCTGTCGAGTATTTAAAACAAATCCCTCTTAATCATCTTAATCAAGTATTGAAAGAAACGACACCCGAACCTGACTTTAATGTTTTCGAAGAAGAGTGCTATATTACAAACCTTAAGAGATTGCAAAATAAGATCAATAGATTAGATCATAATACGGATAAGATCGATCTGACCCCTGAATATTATAATGGCCTTGAAACTGCGATTAGCTATATTACAAATAGAATCAAACAACCCTTGGATCCCTCATTTGAAGAAATTTTTGATCTGGATACCCTAACACAAGAGCCGGTGGTTCCACGTAATCTTATTGACAGATCATGGAATATTAAGTATCCAGAAGTCTATTGGGGTGTACATTATGATTTACTGAGGCATGAACTTGTAGAACCTCTTAAAAAAGCAAGTGCAGCATTTCACGCTACTTCCCATTCAGCCTCACCTGGTAGACCTTTTAATAAGTGTGTTTTCTATAAAGACGTATGGGTGATACATTCGTATATTCGTGCTGACTGTCAAGTTTTGGTCAGGATCAGATTCAACCCAAGTCGAAAAGTTGATTGGTATTCAGGTCAACATTTGATGTATGGAACCTATGTTCTGCTGTTCAAAGTCGATCCCAAATCTAAATGTGTCGATGAATCATCTTTAACTTTTGCGACTGTAGAAGACTTTGATATTGATAGCCTTGTTACAACTAAAGGTGAATGTTATATTGGATTAAATTTCGACATTGATCGTTTTAAAAGGTTAGATTTAGGTGGAAGATACTTTATGTTCGAGTCACCGGTTCAATATCGTTACGTGAAGTCATGTCTTCAATGGTTAGCCTCAAAGGAAATGGACAATTTGACTGAAATACCATTGAGACAAGAAATTTTTGGTATTGGTATAACTCAGTCGTCAGATTTTATTCCACATTATTTAAAAAAGTGTACATTGGATCTTGCTCCGATCCTTTCAAACGATAAACACTTTCATATTGTAATTGGACAGGATAAATGGCCACAATATGAAGGAGCGAACGGAGCTTCGTCATATAATGTTGAAAAATCTATAAAAGATGCACTTGAACATATTATATATTCCAAGGTAGCCGTTATTCAGGCGCCTTCTGTTACCTCAAAATCTATTCTAATTTTAAAGGCCACACAGCTCATTACTCAAACTTTCGGACGACGTCATTTACCAAGTCCAATAATTATTCTGACCAGGACTTCCTTCGTACTTGATAAAATACTCGAAGAACTTCTTCCATTATATCCACAACTAGTGCGACTAGGTTCATCCGAGTGTAAAAATCCTCTTCTGGCCAGTAGACAGATAAATAATGTGTCCAAAGAAAGACTCCGGGCTCGTAATCAGTTAGGGTTACAAAAAGTACAGAAACACGAGTGGCTTAAATTGAAAGGAAAATTGAATGATATTAGTAACGATATAAGGTGTCACTCGATTCAAAGATTAAAGTGCTTGTCAGATGAAGAATTTATTAGGAATGCACCAATTAATTTTAGATCCCAATTAACTGACAAAAACTTCGATAGCGAAGCATCACTGCGATCTGAAGAACTGAAAGCATATAGGGAATGGATACAAGAATGTGAACCTTCTCTGGATGCATTATCTGGTGTAAATCAAGATATGATCAATAAATTCAAGGAATCATATTTATTTAGCAATAGCTTTGATGATGAAGACGAAGATATCGTCCAAATATTGTCCGAAAACGAAAAAGATTTACTGAATCTTGTCACTGAGGATCGATTTATCGATTTAATTGATGAGGACATACCAGAACAGCAAGATATGTGGTACAGAAAAATTAATTTTGATCATACAAGTAGAACTAATAAATTTTCTGAATTCTGGAGCACTCTTAAAATCCCTGATAATATCCGATCTTTACCATTGGAAGAGAGGAAAAAAATTCGTTCCAAATATGATTTTGCTGTCAATTATCATTTTAATCGTATTATTAAAGAATTACACATGCAGGCCCTTGATATAAGCAGCAAACTGCATCATCTTCGCTTGGTCAGATGGTCAGAAATTGTTCAATTTGCACCGATAATCGGTATTACTATGACATATGCACCAACATTTCGTGAAATAATTCAGAATTCGGGTTCAAGGATTTGTATCGTTGACGAAGCTTCAGACATACCGGAAGCAGAATTAATGTCGACGTTGAGCTTAGACAAGCTCGAACACATTATTTTAATAGGTGACAGACACATGTCTAAGCCAGATGTTAAAAGTGTGATAGCTCAACGTGGTCACAGGAACGTATCATTGTTTGAACGATGGATGTTGATTGGTGGGAAATATGTTGAATTAACTCAACAAAGTCGTATGCACCCTAAAATTTATAAACTTATGAACGTTCTTTACAACTGTAAGCTGAACATTGATTCTCGGGCCAACAATATCCCATCCATTCCAGGTATCGCATCAAATCTGTTTTTTATGAGCCCTGAACGTAATGACAATGCTAACGAACATGGGATAATACGAAATGAGCATGAGGCTGAATTTGTTGCGAATTTCGCCTTTTATCTTTTTCAACAAGAGCATAATTTTGATCCACAACGGATTACGATTTTAACCCCTTTTAAGGCGCAAAAACAATTAATTTGGAGTAAGCTAAATCCTAAACTTAAACAGAATTCTGTTATAACTATTCGCCCTCCACGGCGTGGTGATAATGGTGTACAAAAGACCTTGGGTAAAATTAAAGTTAAATTAATTGACGAATACCGAAATGAAGAAAACGCGATAGTCATTCTATCTTTAGTTGGTGTGGAAGAGTCATTATTTGAAAAGGCTAGGAAAATTTTGGATTCTAAAGATATGGCGGTTGTATCGTTATCTAGAGCATTGCACGGTCTGTACATTTTTTATTTTGGTGACCTTCAAACGCTCGAGGAGAAATCGAATATCTGGGGACCAGTAATTAAAAAAGCAAAAGAAGGTGTTTATTCATTTTTAAGTCCTGATCCTTAATTTTGTATCACATTTATTAATTAAGATTTTTTTTATACTTCATAAGTTGGTGCCTATGGTACATATTTAGAACTTAAATGCCTAAATCATGGAACTCTGACTAAAATAAAGCATCATAATGAGTTCAAAGAAGTTCGATATGGCGGCTGTAATGTAAATACTTTTAATATTAATCTGTTATACATGATTTTGTGAATTACTAAGATTTTATGAACCAAAAAAAAATTTGAATTTATCAGAAACCATGCCAGAAAGCATTATTGTGTGGCCATCGTTGTCCACGAACATGCCACCCTATTCCGCATGCTAAAGAAAAAGAATATATTTGTAAAAATAGAGATTGTGCACCCGATAGTCCGAGAACCGATATTTTATTGTAATTTTGTGCACCTGCACCCACAATCACATGACTTAAGATAATCATTACGATAATATAATTTTTTAAAATTTTTATTTTAATAAAAAAATAATTGCATAACAAAACGTTTTCAAAACGTCGTTGCGTAACGAACGTTTCGAAAACCTAATTTTACTGCAAATATCCTAACCATAGTTACTACACTAAACCTTAACATCATAATATTGTCGCGTAACGAATATTTTGTGACCACAGCAACAGAACCAACAATAACGTAATCCCCCACCAAGTGCGACGATTCTACTAATTACGAACCTAGCAATATCAAAGTCAATATAAAGGAATAGCATCAACACTAAGAATGACGAAGCAAACGACGGAATCCAAACGACGGAATCCAACCAACGATACCTACGACGGCGACAAGAGACGAACAAGTAAAGAATTCCACTACAAGCAGCAGCAACACCCAACGCGTCGAAAGACTAAATCACACCAATGACGAAATCTACCGTCAGAAACGGTGGCACCAAACTATATGAACACCAATGACGAATTCTTTCGGTAATGGCTAGTGTGTGAAATTCAAATTTTAATTTATGTTCCTAGATGAACATTAAATTTATTTTTATTCTCAAAAAACAAAAATGTTCTCAATAGAGAACATCTTTTTTGTAATAATGTTTTTAATTTTTAAAAATTGTTCTCTAATTTACTGACTTTTTTTTTTAATATTTTTTAAATTTTAAGGAAAAGATGCTTAATTTTGGATTTTTTGATCAAAATTCTAAAATTAAGCATCTTTTTCTTTTCTCTAAATATACTGATATAATGTACTATTGTGTGTAGAACAAAATTACTTGGAGAATTTAGATAGAATTGCTTAGTAAAATTTTGAGAATCATAATATTTTTTATAATTTTGTTAATAAAATTATAAAAAATATTATGATTCTCAAAATGTTAAGTAATATTAAGTAATTTTGTTTTACAAACAAAAATATATTATATTAGTATATTTTTATTTTAGCTTTTTTTAATTTTAATGAAAAGATGTTTAATTGTGAATTTTTAATCAAAAAAATTTAAAATTAAGCATCTTTTTCTTAAAATTTAAAAAATTTATAATATATTTTTATATATAAAACAAAATTATTTAGAGTATAAAGATAGTATTAATTAGTAGTTTTAAATAATATTTTTTATAATTTTAGTAATAAAATTATAAAAAAAGTTTCTTAAAATTTTACTAATTAATTTTATTTTTATACTTTAAATTATTGTTAAATATATAAAATTAAAATTTAACTAATTTTAATTTTTGGTTAAAATTATAAATTTTAATTATTTTTATTTTTATAAAACTTTTTACATAAATAAATTATTATTTAAAGATTAAAATTAGGGTATAGATTATATTAAGTTAGAATATATACAAAAATAGGTGCTAAAAACTTGTACCAAATAGCTTAAAGTTAGTTTTTTATAATAAAATTTTATAGATAGTCCGTATAGTGGGTGTTGGGGTTTGGTTGAACTCTATAAGGGCGGTAGTAGATAATGGTAGTGGTTTTGGCTTGCAAGTACTTGTTCTCAGACTCGGCATAAATTACTAAAAGCCTAGGTTAACTAAATTGTAGGTACGGATAGCTCTAGTAATGATGCCTTGAGGATAAATTAGTCTTAAGGATATAGGTAAGCATCTGAAACTTCGTAAGATGTAATGGTGATACAGAAAGAGTTGCATTACAGAGGGTTTAATTGGATAGCTTAAGTAATAGTGGGTTATAGATATGACATCTAGTGTAGAACCTAGCAATAGGTAAATACTTAATTAGACGTTAAAAAGGCGCAGGTATAACTAGAATGTACTTTCTAATATATGGGGTTGGGATGAGCCCCTCATTCAGTAAATACCTAAATAAAAACCTTAGTCCCAAAGAGGCTAATTAAAGAGAAAAAAATAAAAATAAAAATAAAAATAATAAAATTTTATATTATTGATAATTTTTTTTAAAAAAATTTTTTATTTTATATTATACAAGATCCTGCAACCTAATTGGTAAATTATAGAATGATTAATTTTACTAAAAGGAAGTTAGTAAAATTTTAAAAATTATATAAATATATTTTTTATTTTAGATTTTTTTAATTTTAAAAAAAATATTAATTTTGAATTTTTAATAAAAAATTCAAAATTAATTTTTTTTTTTTTTCCACTTAGGCCATCTTGCCTTTAATCTCTTTTATTATTTTTCGATTTGTGGGTATACAAATAGGCTTACGCATAATATTGAGGAGTGGCATCTCGCAGTTACTTCGAGAGCACTTACAAGCGATTGGCTGCACTGAGCAGATACATCTATATGAATACATCGCAATAGGTTTCAAATAGAAACACTATCTTTCTCAGAAAGCATTATCAGACCACCAGCCTACAATAGGATATTGTCAATTTGATGACATCTTCTCATAAGGAAGTGGAAAGAAAAAAAATTTTACTAACACTAATACTAAAAGAGGAGGTACTAAAAAAAAAATGAAAACTAATATTAAAACAAATACAAAAATGAAAAATGGTATAAAAAAAAAGAAAAGAAGAATCTGATAGGTCACAATTATAGACCTGTGTCGGGCCTTAAAAATTACATATTAATAGGTAAAGAAGCTCTGTATCTAACTCTATCCTAGTAATATATGTATTAAAAAAAAAAAAAGTTAAAAAAAAAGACAGCTAAACAAGACAGAGTAGCCCAAAATATAAAAGTCTTGAAGTATTGTTGAATAGTTTTTTCAGTCGAGGCACGTAAACCCTTGTGTTGTCATACGGTCCATATACGGTTGCTTATTCCGAATGTTCGCCCAATATTCCATTTTGGAAATAAATAATACTGACTTGTTTTGGAAAATTACGTGTCGATTTTTTGAAGGATGTAAGCTAAAACGGCCACTTTTTTGCCAAAATTTCTTCAAAAAAAAGTGGTGGGCCAACGAAACTTTTTTGTAGTTGTTCCTTGTAAGTTTTACAGTTGTATAGATATACCCAAAGCTTGTAATATTCTTGGTGTCATCTCAGACATTCTGTGTTTCCAAAATATCCTTTTGGTTTGGATGCTGAATATAATAGAAGAGTTCACCAGAAGAAGAGCTTGACCTCTACAAAAACCAGTTCAAAGTAGACCGCGTCTCGGTTTTACACTCTTAGTACTTCGTCGACAACACACCTACTTATGTAGAACCAAGTTATTATTTACTTTAGTGTCTCCTATAGCACTGATTGTAGTTCGGTTTCTTGATTTTTTGTTGACCAGATGATCGTTAGGAAGAGTTGATATTTATTTTTTGAAATTAATTTTTTTATAATTTTTAAAATATAAATTAAAATATAATAATATTAGTATAGCAGGTTTTATTATAATTATTATTTTTTTTTTACCTTCGCAATGTCGCAAACAGACAAATTTTTATTAGGTATTTAGTAATATATTTAGATTACCCCTCCTGTACTACTATCACAATTACACCAGCCTATAACCTTGTGCTGCTTTCATTGAAGATCACTCAGATCGACATATGCTAAACTACTTGTGCTCTAATTCTATAGATAACACAGTAGAGTTCTTGTATTATCAGATTGCTTTAGAGAGAGTGTAGTATATACCTTCTAATCTTTCTATATCCTACACATTTTCAGACTAGGCTTTTCAGTAACTTATGCTAAGTTCGAGAACAAGTACTTGTGAGCTGAGGCTGCTACAGTTATCTACTACTACTCTTGCAGAGTTCACTCAGACCCCAATACCTACTTTACAGACTCCCTCCCATACCTCCAGAAACCTAAACTCTCAATCTAATAGTCTAGAAAGGCAAAACCCTTCCTCCAGTTGTCCGTTGGCCTGGTTGGTATAGTGCTCTTGCCAAACACCTCAGTCCTGTTCAGTTTTCCAGTATCCAGCTGGTTATTTTACACATAGTAACTGTCAAAGATCTGTGCTACCTCTCCACTTGGGTTTTGCTAAATGGACTCCCGTATCCTATCAATCTGCTAGATTTATTTAGTAGCTTCACTCAGTTTCATATAACTTGTACATCACACTACATATTCTACTACCTCCCAGTACAAGCTAGTGTGACCCCATTATAGGTTCTATAATCCAATAGGATACAGTCTTTCCAAATACATTTTCCGTAAATTCGAATTTTCGTTGCCAGTGAGATTCGAACTCTGGTCCTGCCGCTTGGGAGTGTGACAACTTGCCAACTTCACTAAGTCACCACATCCTCTTATAATTAATTTTAAAAATTATCTTATTATATTGTTATAGCAGTACTCAAAATATATATAAAATAATATAAATAGTACAGATATTACAAATAATACAGATAATATAATTCATATTAGAAGAGAAGAGTATAAATATTAGATAGTCAATCTAATATTCAAAGAAAGATAGGAATTGTAAAGGAAATATCTTTAGAGATTAAATAGAAAAACCTTATTTTATATATTTATAGAAGTAATATATATTGATATATAATCAAGTAGCATATACAATATTGATATATAATTATGTATAGGTAGCATATACTAATATACAACTATATATCAGATGGCATATATTAGCATATAGTATAACCAGTGT